TTTTTTTTTCTTATTCTCAATAAAAAAAAAAGTTTAAAAATCATAGTGTGTAGGTGTGTGTGTGTGCGTGCATCCATGTGAGCATGTAATATGTTTGCTGCAAGACTGGAACTAGTGCCATGGTGCATGGGTGGAGCTCAGAAGACAAATTTATGGAGTCATTTCTGGCTTTCCAACTTTATGGAGGTTATGATGATTTAATTTGAGTTTCAGACTCACATTGGAAGTCCCTTTACACACTTTGCCATGCCTCCAACCAACATACACAAGGATTTTTTTTTTTAATTTGTGTATTTGCTTTTTGACGATTTGCCTTCTTTGTTAGTGCATAAACTGTATAAAAAGGTAAGTCCTTGTTTACTCTTGTTTTGGAGCGTGTCACAGAGAAGTAATTCACTTATTTTTGTCAATCAATATGTCAATAAGAACCTGAATCTGGTGAATTTTAACTCATTTTCCTTGATTTATACAGCATGTTAAGGTACTGTTTACTTGTGAACATTACAAACATATTCTATAGATTCATCTTCAAGATGATCCAAGATTATTTTTTCAAAAAGGGTGAACTTGTTCCATTGGTTAAATTATAGTGTGGCTATAATTGTCCACATTTTATAGTAGTTACATGCCTCACTGCTGTTTCCTGGCCTTTAGTAGTGACTATAGCCTCCCTGAGTATATAGCTATAGGAAATGAAGTCACCGTTCAAAATCTTACTGTTATCTAGTGTTATTCCTATACATCTTCAACATGTACTTGGTCTAGTGTCCATCAACAGATGGAGGAGTAAAGAATTTATGTTATATGATGTACAGAGTATATAAAATAGATGATTATTCAGAAATAAAAATAAAATGAAATTCTGTCATCTGCAGTAAAATGTATGAAGTTCAGAACATCAGGTTAAGTTAATAAGCCAGACAATGAGGCAAATTTTTTGTGTTCTCTTACATGTTGATACTAAAACGTCCACCTTAAAGTAGAATTGTGTTTAATAGCAATTGGGGAGGGTACTGGGGGAAGAAAGAATGACAATGCAAGAAGCATGGCAAGATAAGATCAATGCACACCCTATTCATGGGCAGGAATATAACATCAATCACCACTAATGGATGTAACTAACATGTAATAATAAAGTTTTTAATTATAAATCCATTGGCACTACGAAGTTTTGGGGTTGCATTTGACACAGGTGGTTGCATAAGAAGGGATCACAAAAGATGAGTTTACATGGAGAATAGAGTACGGGGGAGTCCAGTGAATGAGGCACAGGCTGGACATTAGGAATCATCTCCAACAAAAAGCCCAAAGAAGAAATAAAGTATGAATATAACTGGAAGAATGTATTTTCAACCAAGAGAAGAATGGTGTAAAAGAAATCATTTAAAAAATACAACTACCTCATCTTACCTTCTTCATATCTTCATAGCTCAGAAACATAATATTGAAGTCATGTCTGTGTTCATACCAGCCTCTTATGTGGTCAAACCAACTGCTTCCTTCTACTGGGAAGAAAAGTAACAAGTGAGAATGCCAAGCTGTGTGTCCATGTAGTGGACAACAAACTCTGTGCCTCCTTTTCTGGTTTGGAATTTTTAGAAATAAAACGGAGGGCCTGAAATGGACATCCATATCCTTATTTAAAATGCTTAGTGGTTTGTGGGAACAATTACCTGACATTCATAGAAACCGGTCTATATAAAGTTTCTACAGGAGTATGAAAGAAATAATAGAGAAATAAAGGGTCTAAGGCTGCAGGCGGCTTTAGGACACACTGGTTTTTTTCCTACTTCTCCACAGAGGTCACATGTCTCTGTTTTTCCTCTTATTTCTGTCTGCAATGGTACAGAATCTGAATATCATCTTACAAGAAAGCTAATGCTTTTGTATCCTATAAAGAATTGTCACTTATATTGGTTTAATAAAATGCTGATTGGCCAATATCTAGGCAGGAAGTATAGGCCGGGTGACCAGACTAGGAGAATTCTAGGAAGAGGAACGTCAGAGACAGTCATCATATAGAGAAAGCAAGATGAAAATTCTGCACTCAGAAAAGGTAACCAATCACGTAGTTAAACATATAGAAAAATTATGGGTTAATTTAATTTGTAAGAGTTAGTTAATAATGAGCCTGAGCTAATAGGCCAAACAATTTATGTAATTAGTATAAGTCTCTTTGTTTCTTTGGGGGGGGGGCGCTGAATGACTATGTGCCCATGTGGGACAGAAAATTCTGCCTATAGTGATGAGCCTCTTGCCTTAATTAATCTACCTATGTAGTAGAATGAACAATTCCACAGCTGCAGTATAAAGCCATATATGGGCTCATGCAAAACATACAACAACCCTAAGCATTTGTTCTCACAGAATGGATTATATTACTTTGCCACTAGTTGGAAGGAATTGATAGCATATCTGTAAACCAAAATAGTTCCTACATGGCAGCTTCATAATCCTGACAATCCTCAAGTGGTGCATAAAGATAGAAAACACAGTTGTTAATGCATAGAGTTGACATACAATTGTCACTAGACAAGTTCTTTGCTTTTTTTTGTTTGTCTGCTATTGTTTTTCTTGTTCTGATATTATTTTTGTTTTCTTTTCAAAAAGAAATGCCCTGCTCCATTCTTTAAATTATGTTCTATAGGTCTAAGTATTTGACTTACTGGCAAATGAATTAATACTTACATCTTCCGTCTAGAAATGCTTGCATAAATGTTTCCACAGTATGTAAGACTTCACGTTTACTCAACCAATTTGAAAAATGAAAGTATGAGGTCATAACATCTTTAGGATTTCTGTAGATATAAAGAATCTGTAGATAGAATTATGAAATTATTTCTTTAATCAAACCTTGGTTATGCTTATAAGTTTTTAATACAATTTTATAGTATTCAATAGTGACAACAAGCATAATTATTTCTTCTAGTCTTTGAGCTATAGAATGTCAAATGGTTATTTATTTATATTTTGGATTTCAAAGAGTACTATAATAAACAACCTTTCTCTATGGCATTTCATGTTTAAGGATGTAGTTCAAAAAGAGGTCCAGACCATGACTGGTATACCCACTGAAACAGTCTACCTTATCTAATTGGAGCTTTGCAACTTCAGTCGGACCTGGAAGAAACAAGCATAGATCCAAACTAGACCCTCTGAATGTGGATGACTGTTGCATGACTGGGGCAGACTGGGGGAACACTGGCAGTGGCATCAGAATTTATCACTACTGCTTGTCCTGACTTTTGGGGAACCTATTTTCTTTGGATGGATGCCTTGCTCAGCCTAGATATAGTGGAGGACCTTGAAAAATCAATGTGCTTTACCCTCTCTGAGTAGTGGGTGGGGGAGGTGGAGTTCAGAGGTATGTGGAAGGAATGTGATGTGGGGAGGGGGTAGTAAATTGGATTTGTATGTATAATAAAAAACAATAGTTTGTTTTTATAAAAAAATTAATTTAATTAAAAAGAATGTAGTTCAATTCTCAAAAGCAATATTATTTGTAATGTTCATAAATATTGAACAATAATTTGCCTTCTGTGATCAAAATATATAAAATTTTTAATTAAAAATTTAAAAGTGAAATTCATTACTCATGAGGGTCAATTGATAGATATTATATGATAACAAAGGAGTTAAATATGAAAACAAAAGACTAATAATCATAATGAAATATCTAGTAATCTATTTATAATCTTCAAATAAAAATGAGCATTTCTTTCATATCATTCAGAAAAATATTGTAAACATGAGTTAAGAACATAAGTAGGATAAAAACTCACACATAGAAGCAATAATCTGTGTGTATCTGTCCACATTAGCACCTGAAGATCTAGGGCAGGAGGAGGAGCTCATGCTAGTTTTGGCTACATGAAATACTCTCATAAAGGAAATAAAGTAAGGGAGTGAGGAAAAGAATGAGAAAGAAAAACCAAAACCCAGAGAATTTATCTCTAGGACTAAAGCAAGGGAAAAAGTGTCAAAAATGAATCTATTTAAAAGAAAAATAGGACAGGTCCCACAGACCCCACCTGCACAAGATAAAAAAGGTGGATGTTTGATATCTTGGCTGGAAAGCCCTGCTCTCTAGGCCCTATACCCGCACTTCCACCAACCACTGAGACCCCAGCAATCAGACAGCAGCTCTCTCTCTTATGAACTATCTCCTGCTGCAGGACCCACTAGCTGGCCTACACATGAAGGCACAGCAACTCCTGGAGCTACAGGCCTGAACTGCACCTGGAGCTACAGAACCCGCTTGTACAAATTGGAGGAAAAGATGGGTTGACAGCAGTGTACGAATATGTTCAACAACATAAACAGCAACATGGCATTGTCAGAAATGAGTGTTTCTTTCTTTTTTTTTTTTTATTTTTTTTTTTTGGTTTTTCAAGACAGGGTTTCTCTGCGGCTTTGGAGCCTGTCCTGGAACTAGCTCTGTAGACCAGGCTGGTCTCGAAGTCACAGAGATCCACCTGCCTCTGCCCCCCCCCCCCGAGTGCTGGGATTAAAGGCATGCACCACCACCGCCCGGCCAGAAATGAGTGTTTCTACAACAACCAGGTCTGAATATCCCAACACACAGATGAAGCAGAAGAAAATGATCTTAAATATAACTTTCTGAAAATGATGGAGGCCCTTAAAGAGGAAATGGAAAGTTCCCTTAAATAAATGGAGGAAAAAGAAAAAAAAACTGGAAGAAATCAATAAATCCTTTAAGAAAGTCAAGAATACCAGGATAAAACAACCAGACAAGTGAAAGAAACAGTCCAAGACTTGGAAATTCAAACAGAGGCAAAAAACACAAGCTGAAGGAATTCTGGATGTGGAAAAACAGTATAAATGAACAGGAACTACAGATGCAAGCATAACCAATAGATGAAAGAGATGGAAGTGGGACTCTCAGGCGCTGAAGACACAATAAAGGAAATTGATTCATAGGTCAAAAAAATGTTAAATCCAACAAATTCTTAGTACACCCCCTCCAAATTCCCTTTGTCATATACTAATCAAAACACTAAACATACAGAATAAAGAAGTATACTAAGACCTGCAAAGGAAAAAGGACAAAGAACGTAAAATGGCTGAAATAACAGAATTACTCCAGACTTCTCAATGAAATTCTGAAAGCAATGAAGTCCTTGGAAGATGTTATGCAGACACTAAAAGATCATGGATGCCAGCCCAGGCTACTATACCCAGCAAAGTTCTCAATCACCATAGATAGAGAAAACAAGATATTCCATGACAAAACCAGATTTGAACAATACATAGCCACAAGTCCATCCCTACAGAATGTACTAGAAGAAAAACTCCAGTCAAAGGAAGCTAGTTGTACCCACAGGAAACACAGCCAACAGGTAACCTCATATCAGCAAGCCCCAAAGAAGGGAAGCACACAAACACTACCACCACCACCAAAATTAAACAGGAAAGCAATTATCAATCACTGGTCATTAATATCTCTTAATATCAATGGTCTCAATTCACTTATGAAAAGAGACTGGCTATCACAATGAATACAAAAACAGGACCCATCCATTGCTGTACAAAAGAATCACACCTCAACCACAAAGACAGTGATTCCCTCAGAGTAAGGGCTAGGAAAGGATTTTCCAAGCAAATGGGCCAAAGAAGCAAGTGTATATAACTATCCTAATGTCTAACAAAATAGATTTTAAACTAAAATTAATCAAAAGACATGGAGAAGGACATTTGGCTCATGTCAGGCTAGTGCAAGCTCAGGGACTGTTGACTGACAGGTGAGAAACCTGCATGGGACTGAACTAGTTTCTCTACATGTGAGTGACAGTTATATGGCTTTATCTGTTGGAGGGGTCCTGGAAGTAGCAATAGGGCCTATCCCAGGTACATAAACCTGCTTTTTGGAGTCTGTTCTCTATAGTGGGATACCTTACTTAGTCTTGATATCAAGGGTAGAGGTTGCTCCTTCCTCAAGTTAGTATTCCAGACCTTGTTGATTTCTGAAGGAAGGCCTTACTCCCTCTGAGAAGTGGATGGAGAATGAGGATGCGATAGGGGGAGGACAGGGAAAGAAGATAGAGGGGGAACTGGGGCTGGTATATAAGGGTGAAAAGTAATTTTTAATAAAAAGTATGAAAAATAGCAAGAAAAATCAATCAGTTTGATAACACTAAAATTAAGAATGTTGCTGATGAAAACCCACATGAGAAAAGCAATGAGGATGAGCTAAAATAGATTCATATCTAGAAGTTATAGAAAACAAACTGACCAGAAGAATGTAATTAAACATCGGGCTAATGATAAACTCTTTTCACATAGTCCAACATCATGATAGCCAATAAACATCCAACATTGGCACTCCCTTTATGAGGATGAGGATGCAAATTAACATACATTTGAGACACCTTTTCCTAGCTGCCATGTTGATAAACATCTAAAAGTCTGATATGTCAAGTTACTAGAGAAACATTAATAAGTCATCTATTGTGCATTTCTGCAAGAAAAGACAAATACACTTTCTTCAGAAATACTGCACCACCTTTGTAAGTGGAGTACTCTGGTCACTGTGGCTCTGCAGCTCTATTCATGGGTATGGGTTCTAAGGAAGCTGCTGAGAGAGTACCAGGAGACACACTCAAGAACGTTCATAGCAGCTGCATCACAGTGGCAAAATATTGGAATAGACTAATTATTCAGTACTTAGAGAAGGCATTTCATGGGTACAGTAAGTCACTGAACTCTATGACATACTTTGACTTTTTTGTTCTTGAAAACTTTTGGCACTAAATAATACGGGAGGTGGGTAGTAAAGATACGAGGTGATGGCCTTTTGGCAAAGTCCACATTATAAGGATTGTACTCAAAGGATGGTGCTCTGTTTCTGACTGGGATGTATTTAGTGTTGTTCCGGTGGCCCTCAAAATAAATCAGGTTGAGGATATTTTGTGTCCAGATGGTACCTGTAAAAACAAATAGCAATCTTATTTTCAATGCTGAAGCAGGTTTTAATAATGAAGAGCAACAGTAACGTATCTGTTTTAAAAATAATTTGGAGTTCTATTTTCCTTTAGCACCCCAGGGATGCTTGGACATGCCCCCTTTCTTTTTTTGCTTTGTCTGATTTGAACACTCAAGTCAGTAAGGCTGAACTCTACAACTCTTTATTTCTTTCTCACTTAAAAAGATGATAGTGATAATCCAGATGATTCTTGTAGTGTCTGTGCATTCTATGCTTCATGTTGAATCCTTTCACTAATATTTAACTAATATTGACATATAACTTTTGCAGATATTAAGAGGTAAAATGCAGTATTACTACATGTGGATATATACAGTGTGGTCATATAACACCAGGGGTAGTGGCATTTCTGTTTTGCTGACAGTTTTTTTTTTTCCTGTTTGGAGCCTTCTAGCTTATTTCTTAATTTTCATAAGATATATAGCAGATTACAGAATGCCACTTTATTTCTGTTTACGGGCAATGCTGACTTATTTTGGAAAGTACTTCGTTATTTGCTTATATTTTAGAACTGAAAAAAAACTAATAGAATTAATATTTCCATTTTCTACTCCTTATCTTGCTTTATACTCTCAATACTTCTTGCCATATTTCTAGTAATTGATCATAGCACACCTGTAGAAAGAGGAAACCAAAGATTTCAGTGTTAATGACATTTGGTCTCTGGACTATTAGATCATCATACAATGAATGTATTTGGGAAATACATGCAAAATTTCAATTCTATTTCTTTTAAGAATGGATGCCATGTGATCAAATACTGTCGTGCTTAGGTTTAGTCTTAATTATTAATGGATATCCCAGATAATTCATTGGTGGCAGTATAGATTTGATTAACCCTTAATAATTAATGGCTATTCCAGATAATTCACTGGCAGTGGTATAGATTGGATCAACCAGTCACTACTCCCAGTGAGGAGTGTTGGTGCAACATATGAAGCAGCACCTGAAATCTTGAAGGAACTGATCATGTCAAGACATCCCAGACTCCAGGGCTTCCGACAATGAATGTGTCGATATCCTGTGTGGCAAAATATAACCCTGTATCGCCCATTTCATTCTTTCTGAGGACCTCCAGAAGCACCCAGCATCTCTTCAGCAGCTGAGTTATTTAGTTATTATCTACAGTGAACCAGGGACTGCCTTACAGGGTCCTCCAAGTTTTGTAGCACATTAAACATCACAAAGACAGAAAGCAAAGTAGAATTTGATATCAACAACAATATTTTTGCAATGCATCCTTATTTACTGAAATGTTTAAATATGGATACAAAATCTTGTTATCCAAATCTTGTTATACAAAATCTGCTGCTGGCTTCATATTTGATTCCCACCCTACAGCATTTTTCCACAATAAATTACAGTATATATATGGCAAGTGTTCTTATCCATAGAGACTTGTGATTTATTTACTTTTTGACCATACATTGTTCTCAACTATAAGTTGCTGTGAGCTGTGATTACAGATACTGATGTCTGATGGAATTTAGGATATTCCTGGAGACAAATCATTGGATTCCTATGAGAGTTTATCTAGATTAGGTTCATCAAGTTGTGATGGAGGAAGGTCATTGGTTAAAAAACAAAGAAACTGCTTGTCCCTCATAGGTTAGAACATAGGTGGGTGGAGTAAACAGAACAGAATGCTGGGAGGAAGATGAAGTGAGGTAAGACGCCTCAGACAGATGCCATGCTCCCCTCTCTCGGGCAGACACGATGAAGCTCCAACCCAGGATGGACATAGGCTAGAATCTTCCCGGTAAGTGAACCTCGGTGCTACATGCATTAATAGAAATGGGCCAGGCAGTGTTTAATGAATACAGTTTGTGTGTTGTTATTTCAGGGTATAAGCTAGCCAGGCGGTCAGGAGCCGGGCTGTGTGAAGAGGCCCGCAGCTCCATCAACAAAGTTGGACTACAGATGGAAGTTGACAAGGAACCTTCACCTGCCATTGGGACTTCTCCAACATGATGATATATTCTGGTGCAGCAGTGAAAATAGCTACTAATATTATTAAAATGACATTGTGTTAAAAATAGAATAATTATGCACTTATTATCAAACCAATATACAGGGTGGTGATGGAGCCCAACTTTAATCCCAGCACTTGGGAGGCAGAGGCAGATATATCTCTGAGTTTGAGGCCAGCCTTGTGTACAACAGTAAGTTCCAGGACAGGATACTATGTGACAGAGAAACCCTGTCTTGAAAAAAACAAACAAACAAAAAAAAAAAACAAAATCTATAAGGCATATTTATGCCACTCACCAGATTTCGGGTATGTGACTATGAAGACATCATCATCTCTAATTTCCTGATTGTCGATGTTTTCTATTATATTCATTTTAACTAAAGACCTTTCAAAGTTAAAGCCTTTGAAGTTAAGTAAACGTTCATTTTTACTGCCCATATTTATTTACCTAGAAGAAAAATTTATAAAATTTTCTTAATTATCATAGTATTTTTCAATAGTAAGTAATGCTTTTGAGTGGTCAACATCTACGAAGCATGACAAAAATGTCCCTCTCATATTAATATTTTCTACAATAATCAATTACATATCCTAGATTATTTATATTTACAATAATATTATGTTACTACATTTTTATTATCACTGTATAATATATGAAGAAACAAACATAGAAGGAATGAGGAAGTTAGTAAGATTTTTCTCTAATTTCAGATGGGAAAGGTGATCTTAATTCTAAATATGCAGATGATAAAATTAGGGTACAGAGTATGCAACCAAGTTTTTCAAGGTTGTCCTGTTGATCAACTTACAAAAAAGGCAGCAAACAATTGGGGCAGAGTATGTGTTTGTAACTGAAGATTTATTTTGTATAATAAATTTTTATTCCTTATTTAGGGGCTGTATTATACAGGCCCATCTTTCTATACTGTATGGCAGCCATAATTCTGAGCAACCTTCAGAGCACAATTTGTACCTGTCACAAGGAAGGTGGTCACCTAGCCTTTTGAGAAAACCAGACCTTATCTTAACCAAAGGGTTAGGATATGCTAATGTCACTCTGAGACTTCTATGGTAATTTAAAAGGTTGCCTGGGAAGAGGTGGTAATTCAGTCTATGTGAGAGAGCAGCAATAGTTGCAGATGTGACCTAACTCATTCTCCCCTGCTACCCATAAAACAGAGTGCTAATGAACTTCCCCCTCAGTTTACCTTTTCATGTGAAAGTAGTTTGGATAATAAACACAACACGGGTGATCTTCAGGATTTGAGTGAACCCTGAGACTCTCTCCTGATATTGCCATGTAAACTGTTTATTTATTCCGATGTCTCCACTCTTGTTCAAGAAATAATTTATGTTTGGGCTGGACCATGACATAGTGGTATCCAATGTGGGGCTGATCGTTGAACCCTAAAAATCACTGAAGAAGTGACCAGACATATGGAGGAGAACATGAATATCCCATGAGGAAATTTCACCACAGGTAGTGAATGAGTAATGAGCACTCAGAAATGAAGAATAAAATATAAAGAAGCATAGAATAAAACAGGACAAAAAATAGGAATAAAAATTTGTAAATATATTGAACTATGGGTGAAGAAAGAAGCAATCAAATAGCTATACAGTTGATTGGAGCTATATTAAAGGATAGGAAGAGCAAGAGTACAGCAACATCAGATTCAAGAATTTGTAGAATTTATAGAGCAGCTATGCCCTTGGTTTTCTGAGTACAGGACCTTAGAAAGAAGTTGGGATAAAGATTCAACAATATTATTGTAATTGTGGACCAGAAAGCTTCCCTGTAGATACACTTTATTTCTGGATCCTAATACAGGAAAGGTTGGACTAAAATCCCGTACAGCAGGAGATACTTCCCTCTGAGTCAGTTAGAAGGGAGACAATACCCTCTGCACCACAGGAAGAGTTGCAAGATGCTGTTACAGAACTGAGTGTTTACAGTCAGTCAGAGCCTAATGAATTAGAGAACTATGAAGAGGAGTCTTCATCTCCCTCATTAATAAACAGCAATGCTGAGAGACAGGAAAAGGATAATGAGGATCAGAAGGAGCTAAAAGGCTTGATAAAGTTTGTAATCTTACTATAGCAGAGACTAGAAATTCTGCGGATCCAGGACTCTTGCCAGAAGAATAATTCTCTTCCTAGCATAATAACTGGTTTAGATTCACCTATGGTGAATCAAAGAGCTCTGAAGGTTATGCAAATTCCTTATAATAGCAATGAATCTCCTTTATAAGCTTGTATCAGAGATGCCGCTAACAGAGGGGAAGAGATGCAAGAAATTCAATTGTATTTCATAATAGAACAAAAAAATGCTTAAGGAAATATTCTTAGGATACACACCCCCCATTTAAGCTACTCGTCTTTAAGTTACTAAAAGAATTTAAAACTGACTGATCTCAGTATCCAATGGCCCCATTTACCGAGATGCTATTCGAAAATATAGCAATAGACACTCTGAAGCCACGGGATTGGAAGCAGATAGTCAAAGCTTGCCTGTCAGAAGGAAACTATTTATTGTTGAATGATGTGGAAGTGATTTCTTTCTAATCTGTTGCTTTCATTGGTTAAATAATAAAGAAACTGTGTAGGCCCATTTAATAGGCCAACCCTTAGGTGGGTGTAGTAAGCAGAACAGAATGCTGGGAGAAAGAAGCTGAGTCAGGGAGTCACCATGGTTCTCCCACTACAGACAGAGGCAGATTAAGATCTTTCCTGGTAGGTGGAGCT